TCTAAAAAACAAACAACAGCCAGGCAGTGCGACACTCACCTTTAATCAAAGCACTCAGGAGGCAGAGGCAGGCAGGATCTCTGAGTTTGAGGCCAGCCTGATCTATAAAGTGAGTTAAAAAAAAAAAAAAAAAGCAACAAACACATCCCACCCAAATCAAAGTGATAGAAATAAAGAAACAACAACAAAGGGACTGCAGCTCGGTGCTCTGCTACATGCCTGCACTCAGCTACTCAAAAGCCGGAGCGGGGAGATTGTCTGAGACCAGTCAGGACCATATATAATCAGATTCCAGTTCAGAAAAACAGCACAAACCAACAGCGCTGGCCCATTCTTAAGTTTAAGAAGGCCCTCCAAAAAGATAAGCCTCACTCATAACTAAAAAAATGTAGTTCAAAACAGTAAGATACTGTTTTTCATATCTGTCTCTGACAATGCCTGGTGTTGTCCCGGTCATAGCTTCGGCCAGTTTTGAGTGGCTACTTGTCTAAAGGGCACAGCTTTTGGGATTATGTTTATAAAGATCTGAAACATTCCACCCATGGTCTGGTGAGAGCTAGATCAACAGGTGAAGGTCCGTGTCGCACAGGCCTGAGAACCTGAGTTTCATGCCTGGAGCCCACATAAAGACGGAAGGAGAGAACTGACTCCTTAATGCCTTCCTCTGACTGCCATGCGAGTGCCTTGGCATGCACATGTGCCCCCACACATGCACCTCATGTGCACACATCTGCAATAGTGAAAATGTTAAGAGGCCTCTCAAAGGCTCGGCCCTGCAGGCTATCAGAGCAGACGCTGAGACTCATGGCCAACTGATGGGCAGAGTGCAGGGAATCTTATGAAAGAAGTGGGAACGAGTAAGATCTGGAGAAGACAGGAGCTCCACAAGGAGAGCAACAGAACCAAAATATCTAGGCACAGGGGTCTTTCCAGAGACTGATACTCCCACCAAGGATCATGCATGGAGGTAACCTAGAACCTCTGCACAGAGGTAGCCCATGGCAGTTCAGAGCCCAAGTGGGTTCCATAGTAATGGGAACAGGGACTGTCTCTGATATGAACTGATTGGCCTGCTCTTTGATCACCTCCCCCTGAGGGGAAGCAGCATTACCAGGTCACAGAGGAAGACAATGCAGCCACTCCTGAGGAGACCTGATAGACTAGGATCAGAAGGAAGGAGAGGAAGACCTCCCCTATCAGTGGACTTGGGTAGGGGCATGTGTGGAGAAGGGGGAAAGAAGGTGGGATTGGGAGGGGAGGAGGGAGGTAGCTACAGGGGGGATACAAAGTGAATAAAGTATAATTAATAAAAATTAAAAATAAATAAATAATATAAAATAATGATATCATAAAATTAAAAAAAATTAAATTCCAAGTGTGCATATCTTACACACACACACACACACACACTCTCCAACTCCAATTCTCGAAATCTATACTATGACTACATTTGGCCTTGTATGCAAAAATGTACCTGGAAGGATGTTTACTGTGAATGTTTATGATCGTGAAAAGCTAAGGGAAAAGTTACTGCTCACCACTAGCCTCTATCATACACCAGCTCAAAGAAATATAGATTTCAGTGCTCTGACATGGAAAATGTAAGAAGTGATAAGTCGTCCTAGGAAGAATCCTATACACTTGCAATTACATAGAAAAATCTGGGAACACACACAAAACAGTGACAGTTCTCTCGGGGAAGAGGAGCTGACAGATGGAGAAGCCCACTTGAACTCTAGCTCTTCCGTATTGCTTAAATTCATTTCTTCCCTTTCTTACTCATTTCTTGGTTTATTTTTCTTGAACTGTGAGCACATCTTGCCTTTTATAATTAAACTGCTCTCCCATTAAAGTCTAAATGAGGGCCCTTGAGATGGCTCAGCGGGTCTGGGAGCTTATCACCAGCCTGATTACCTGAGTCCCCGGAACCCACCTGCCGAGAGGAGGGAACCAACTCTCACAAGCTGTCCTTTCATATCCACACACACGCAGGGTCACGTACATACACACACAATACATAAGTGTGAAAAAGTGGAGCAAAATTAAAGACCTAATGCTAACAGCTCACAGATGTGAACTTGAATTTCAGAATGCATTAGAAACCATCCTATCTTGAAGTTTCCAAATAAGACCCATTTTTTTTTCAGTTTTTGTTTGTTTGTTTGTTTTGTTACAAGGTCTCATATAGTCCAGGCTGGCTTCAGACTCATTATACAGATGCAGACAACAGTCTCTACCTCCTGAGTGCTGGAACTACAATTTTGTGCCACCACACTTAAGGCCTAATATTTTTTTATTACTATATCTATAATCAAATACCGTGGTCCTTCCTGTGCTGTTTCTGCTTTACGCCTCCACCTGTCCTCATTGTTCCTGGTTATCTGGCACCTGCCACATATCAGACCCTGAACCCAATGGACCAATGCTCCTCAGTGTCTTCTATACCAGAGGGTTAAGCCAGAAGGGACCAGAATGTGGGGCCTCGGGTGCCTACAGAAAACTGTGCCATTCAGGACACCATCTCCAGCACCTTTTCCATGTACATGCCAGCGCTGGTGAGCCAGCCATGACAGAAGGACATACCCTCTCTGGGAAAGCTCGCTTAAGAGTCTCACACCTGGAAAACAGGGTATGGCGAGTCTGTTGGAACCGTGCCGCACGCACCGTGGAGAGCTCACCAGACCAAGGCTCGGGAATGCAGCTAGGGGAACAGAAGGACTCCTGAGTCTGAGTGAAGCTGCCTGCCAGTCTCCAGGGCGGCAGCTGGCCTAGAAAGGGTGTGTGCTATTGGAGTGACAAGGGATTGTGCTTTATGAAGGGCCACTCTGCCTGTCTGTGTGTGTGTGCATTTGTGCATGTGTGCACATATATGTGTGTGTATGTATATATATGGCCCCAGTGTTGCACCAGGGCTGAGCACAGAGGCTGGAAGCGGCTATGAGCATCATGTCTCTGGTTACTGTGCGGTGCGAGGGCCTTAGAGAACTGGGAAAACAGGGTGGAGAGACGGGCATTGGCCAACACAGGACAAAGGCACATTCCTCCTGGGTTCACTCACCTTCACGGCCCGTGCTTTCATTTTCCTCCTAGCGCAGCCTCCTTCTGCCCTGTCTCCGCTACTGGCTCTTCTCCCTCAGCGCCTTTGATGTCTGAGGCTCCAGGACCCAGGGAACATTGCATCCTATTTCTTCCTCCCTGCTTGCCTTCGGCCAGTTCAAGGCTTTGAATTCCAGCCTTAGGATGATCATGCCCAGAGATCACTTTTTGGTCCAGATTTCCCCCCTCGACTGCAGTGTACTGTCAGGTGGAAATAGACTTTAAAGTTAACACATCCTGAACAGGACCCTAGCCCATCCCTAAACCTCTATGTCTGCGCCTCACCACCATCTCAGGGGACAAGTCATATCCAGCTGCTCAGCTGAAAACACCTGGTTATTCTTAACAAGCATGACTTTTTTTTTTTTTTGCTTGTCAAGGTTTCTCTTTGGGGCTATTTCAACTTCTCCAGTCCTGGGCCTGTAAGCACAGCATCTGTCTGTGACACTCTTTAACATGCTCTTCGGTTCTCAGGAAACCCTGTTAGTTCTAACACAAACGCCTTGAGGATCCAAATGCGTCTCACTGCTCCATCACCCCAGGCCATGCTTCCGGCTGCTATTTTTCTTTTGCTTGTATTTTTGAAATCACCTCTTGCTGATTCAGTGGCCAGATTATTTTAAAACACGAGTGAGGTCTGTCTATGTCCTACCCCAAGCCCTCCAAAGCTTCCTCATTAAAGACCTTACAGAAACCTTCGGGGCTCTACAGTTTGCGCCAGTGCCCACTTACTCTCTGGCCACACTGCTCTCCCAGCTCTTCAGCGGACACGCTGATGCCCCCCTGTATCCCAGTCCATTGCTGTGCCTTTGCCCCTATGAAATACCTTGAATCCCATCCCCACCCCCACCATCTTTGCCTTTAAGCTGAGACTTCCACCCCACTTTCCCCATCCACCTGCAGACTTGCCCCCTCTCGGGACACGAAATGAGTCACGTGACTCCCAAACTAGGCTGCGCTGAGGAACCAGAACTTGGCCTGCCCCCTCCCTCCCTTCTCTCCCTTGTCCTCTGGGTCTAGGACCCTGTTTGCATTGTAGTAGACCTGGGGCTGAGGCTAACGAAGCAGACCCTTAGAAAAAAAGCCCCTTCAGGGGAAGGGTAGTATGGGAGGAAGTGGGGTGAAGCCAACCTGGAGCTGGCCGAAACGAGAGAGCACACAGGCAGCTAGGAGGTGAGAACGCTGAAGCCCGAATGGAGTCTGAGCTGTTGAAGAGCCAAGCAAGCCGAGAATCCGGTGGGGGCCTCTGGAGCTTGGGAAGGAGGCTCAGAGTGACCCAGTGCTCCTGACATTTGGCAGGCGCTCAATAAACAGGGACCTCTGGCTGGGGGAAAATGGGTTGTTAAGGGGCTGTGCAGATTTGCGACTGTCACACACGGCGGACACCGAGAGATGGACCAGCAGGAAAACTCCAAACCCGCACAGCGGCCAAGACAGAACGGAACCTTCCTTAGGTATCTCCCAGGCAAAGGCCATGGGGCCGGGGAAGTGACCGCGAGCGAGAACTGGAAGGTGAGACGCGCCCACGCGGGTGCGCGCCGAAGCCTCGCGGCGCCGGCGCCACTAGGGGCCGGCGCCGCCAGGGCCAACCGCGCGCAAACTCCCCAGCGCCGCCGAGCACCGCGTGGCCCCCACCCTCCCGCCCGGCCCTCAGGCTCCGCCCCATCCCTCAAGTCCACCAATCAGAAGGAGCTCCCCGCCTCCCAGCTCCCGAAGCCCCGCCTCGGGCCGGCGCGCCGCCAGCCAATGGGAGGCCGAGCCCAGCGCCCAGTGCGCGCAGCCCGCGCCGAGCCGGCTCAGAGCGAGAAAAGCGAACCCAACCCGTCGGGGCCGCCGCTCCGGACCCACCGCCTGCCGCCGCTCGCCGCCGCCTCCTCCCCCCCGGATCGGGTGTACTGTCCCAACCCGAAAGTCCAGTTCTGCGGCCCGGCAGCGGCGAGCGAGCGCGATGACACAGGAGTACGACAAGTGAGTGAGGCGCGGGCGCGAGTCCGGCCAGGGCCCGGGGGCCACCGCACCTGCCGCCGCGACGGCGCGGGCTCCGGGGGCCGCGAGGCCCGGCCGGGCGGGGCGGGGCGCGGGGGACGCTCGGCCCTCGGTCCGCTGTCCGAGCCCTCCGGGGCCCCGCGCCCGTGGATCGGTGGGGACGGCTGGACCCCGGGCCGCCTGCTGTCACCTGCCGAGCTGCCGGAGCAGGAGATCTAGGGGAAGGTTGAAGCGGCCGCTGCCCGCGCGCTTTCCTCGCCTCGGCGGCCGGGTGAGAAAGCTGCTGTGGGTGTTCTTGGGCCCTTGCATCACCGACGGTAATTACCGAAGACTTTTTTTTTTTTTTTTTTTCTTCGCTGTTCGGGAATATCAAGAGGAAGAAACTGCAAGCCCGGTGCTAAAGCTAAGGGAGTACTCTCGAATCGGGATTGCTTTTTGGAATTTTGGGGATTTCGGAAAGTGGCGAGGAAGGTTCAGTTGATGGTGTGAGATGGGATCGGACGGTGGCAGGACTTGGGGGCGGGGGCGGATAGTTCTCGATTTTACTGGCAACTTTTGTGTACATTATAAAGATGTCCTGGAAGAGCCCGTCTATCTCGGCTCAGTAAATCTGGAGCAGAGAACTAGCTTCGGAGTTAGTTGCTGAGGGTGATTTTCTCATGCCTTGTTATCTGAAGGAGCTGTGTGTGAAATCAGCAAGAGATTCATCCTGTCTTGTAGAAAGTGCAGTTCAGTTAGTGTTCGGCTCTCGTTTTGGAACGCTGACCCGTAACTCTTGAAGGTCTAAGGCTCATTTGAAAACACCCGTGAACCTCCCCGGGCTGGAACAACGCTTGCTGGTCTTGAAGAAGTGGGCTGCAATTGTTCTTGTGTTTATTTCTCTACTTACTGACGAGGCGAAAACGCCAGCGCTAACCTCTTGGCTTTAGGCATACTTTGAAAATATACAATGCCTTCAGGGTAATTGCGGACCTAAACCCACTTGGATAATATTTATTTTCTGACGCTTGTGCCAGTGTAGGATGTGAGAAGACGGGAAGCTTGAAAAACTAGCATCACAACTGTTGAATGAGCCAAGTGCTGTCAGAATCCTCTGGAAGTAGCTATTAGGCTATTAATAATAGCTCAGCAATGCGCTAGGGAATCTCACCAGAGTACCACCATTTCCCTATTGGCCTCAGGACCCAAAGGCTTGGAGGAATGGCATTTTGGGTATTTTCTCTCATTTGGTTAAAACTTGAGATTTGTAAAGATAAGTCTTCTTGGTTTTTAAATTTCAAAATGATAAGCTGCCTCCAGATGTTAACCCTTAGAATGGTCTTCATAGGCTCAAATTAAAAGATACGCACTCCGAAACAGCTCTGACTTCTCAGGGCAAATGAAATTGCTGGATTTTTTTTTTTTTTTTTCTTCTCGTTTTTTAAAATTTTTTTTTTTTTTTTTTTTTTTTTTTTTTCTTCTTTTTCTTTTTCTTTCTTCTTCTTCTTCTTCTAAATCCATATCTGTTTTTGAAGGATTTGGGTGACTGCCAAGCCCTAACCTTTGCTGATTACTTGAAAAGATAATCAGACTTTCTACACTCGCTCTTAGAAAAGGTAGGTCACCTCTAGGCCATCTGCATATTTCATTCGTGTGTTGCAATGAGAACTGAGCCTGGACGGCCATAATTCAGAGAAGTTCCAGACACCACCTCCTCCATTCTTTTTCTCCTCACACACAAAAAGTTACTGCTTCGTCTTGCTAAAGTCAACGTTCCATTTTCTCCTTCTATTGACTTATTAAATAATACCAGCTGAACAGTTGTTGAGACTGTTGACATTTCCAGTTTTTGGAATCGGTAGTGTTTGCTTTGAATCATTTAAATTAAATCTCCTATGAAGCGCCACTAAAATCACCATTGATTTTCTGGCTTTCCCCCGCAAACTGCGCTGTTAATGTGAAATAGTCTTTGCCTGGTGTGAAAAGCTAATGAAGATTTTATTTATTTGGGGGGAGGGAGCGTCGGGGATTCAGCCCAAGAAGCCCCTGGCCTCAGGCAGAGAAATCACATGCTCAGCACTGAGTTGTGCCACCAAATCCTGAAGCCTAAGTAAAGTTTTTTTAATATTTTGTTTTATGAGTTTGTGTTTGCACTCCGCTCCCCTCCTTGTGTACTCTCTCTCTCTCTCTCTCTCTCTCTGTCTTTCTCACACACACACATACACTCTCTGAGGTCCAAGGACAACTTGTGGCAAGGCCTTCCTTTCTCTCTTTTGACTATGGGGGTTTTGGAGATTTAACTCAGGTCCCTTTACTAGCTGAACCATCTCACCAGCCAAAGAAGAGTTTGCCCAGTGTGTGTGTGTGTGTGTGTGTGTGTGTGTGTGTGTATGTATAAAAGTCAGGACAACTTGCAGGAATCCATTCTCTCCTTCCTCTCTGTTGGTGGAAGGGAAGAAACCTACATCATCAGACTCATGAGCAAGTGCCTTTAGCCCTGAGCCATCTTCCCGGGGCCCATGGAAAGATTTTTTTTTTTAATCACATTTGTTCACTTTTTTTTTTTTTTTAAGGCTGGTTTTCATTCTGCGGCTTCGTTTGTTGTACGTTAAGTGTCTATCTCTAGGATGAGCAGTTCACTCCCATGCGAGATTATGCTTCTTTATTGATTTATAGTCCCCTTTGGCTACATTCCAGGCTCCTTCTGCTGGTAACAGTAGAGTCTTCTAACTTTCTCATTTACCCTGAAGGATTAGCGAAATGTCCCTTTCGCTCCCCCTCCCTCCTTCCTGCCCCTGTTTCTCGGAAGGAGCTGTTTTAAGTCATGGCATCGGTGGGGGGAGGAGGGAAGTCACATGTAGTAGCATGGTGAACCCTGTGTGTGCTTAGGAAGAGGGCACAGGCCTCTCAGGCCTCTGAAAAGTCTCTGTGCCTCGATGAATCCCCGTGTGTGCTGTTGTAAAAATACTTGAATAGCCCTGTGTCCTCTTGGGGTAGGTTTTGGACTTTGACAATCAGCATCACCTCAGTGTGTCTGACGAGGCTCCTTAGGTCTGCTCTGCCTTCTGAGCGTGTCTTTATTTTACTAAGGTCATTGACATAGCTAATGCCACGAGGTGACTCAGAATCTGCCATGAAAAAGCGTTTTGTAAACCAAATCTGAATTTTCTGGGCCTTTTTATTTATTTCAAAAATACCCGTAAGAGGAGTGTGGACATCATTTTATTTACTGAGTTCTCTTCAGGAATGCTATCAAAAGCTGTCGGTATTCAGTTCATTGTAGTGCAGCTCCAACCCAGTGCCTTGCCCATGCTAGGCAGTTGCTCTGCCACTGGGCTGCCTACCCCTGTAATTATATCCTGGCACAGGGCCATGTGTCCTATTTTATAGGAATGTCAAAGAACTGTTTGTTCAGTTTTATTTTGTTTTGGTTTTTTTGAACAGCTCATAGGCTGTCTTGCTGTAGGAAGTATGGGTTTAACTTTGAATTTCTTCCTCTGAAGCAAAAGGCCAGTGCTGGTTCTCCAGAATGAAGCTCTTTATCCGCAGCGGCGCTCCTACACGAGCGAGGACGAAGCCTGGAAGTCATTCCTGGAAAACCCTCTCACTGCGGCGACCAAAGCCATGATGAGCATCAACGGCGACGAAGACAGCGCAGCTGCCCTGGGCCTGCTCTACGACTACTACAAGGTAGGCCTCGGGCTCCTCACAGCCTCTCAGACCACACCTGATTCAGCAGCCTATAAAATAGTCATCTGCTGGTTGCCACTGAGGGACTATAAATACTCTAATAGGTACCTGGTTTTTCAAAGGTGGTTCAAAGCTGAGCATCTACAATCACAGAATCAAAGGCTGGTTTTTAAACAGCTGCTCTGGCCCTCGCCAAAGGAGACGCTGCTATAAAAAAAAAAAGGCAGTAGCCGTGTCTCCCCAAGTTGGAATGTTTTACCAAACTTGGTTCCTGGTGCCATGAAAAGGGGTTGTTGCTGCCTGAGCTGTGCTCTCGCCTTCTGGGTGGTCAGAGCGACTGCCTTTTCTGTAACCACTGATACAAAGCCTTGGGAGTCCATCGGGGGGCGGGGGGAGAAATGCACACTTTTCCAACTCTGGGACCTGGTTCTAAGATCAGAATACATTTTCTTGCCTGTTTCTAGACAGTTTGAATTAGCCTTAACTATTGTGTGTACTCTGTACGGGTTTTTACAGCATTCTGCCTCGTGGTCCCCAATGGAGCGCCAGTGATTGAGCTGCCACTCACTCACTCACTCACTGTCCACTGGACAGTGCCATTCACACAGGTCATATGGCCAGCCTGTGTGTCATCTTTGATTCCTAGTCCCAGCAGCTCAGATGCATTCAGTCAGGGCTTCAGCCCCAGTCCAGTTCCCTGCCACAGACTGCCCTCTTTGGTGCTGGGGAGTGGCTTGTGTTTGCTTTCTCCTTGGCGTTGACCAACAGCTGGCACTCAGGGATGGCTCCTTGTGTTCATTGGTTGTAGGTGTCAGTTGTTCTTAATAGCTAGCCATGCTTAAACATGGAGCCCTAATAAATCGGATGATACTTTCATCTTTTTAAAGAACGCCCTGTTTATTTTTAGTTCTGTGTTTGTATTCGGGGATTTACTGGCAAGTCTTTGCACGTGAGTGCAGGTGCCTGTAGAGACCAGAAGAGGGAGTTGGGTCCCCTGGAGCTGGAGTCACAGGTGGTTGTGAACTGCCTGATGTGAATGCTAGGCTCCAAACCCCAGTGCCAGGGCAGTGTGCAGGCTTAACCACTGAGCCATCCCTCAGGCCGCTTTATTTTGTTGCTAATGGCAAAGTATGAAAGAATCCTTTCACTGCAGAGCAGCCTGGTGTACACGTCTCAACAAGGTTTGTGTGCCTGTTTGGACCATGTCTCAGGTGGGTTAATGCCATAGTGTTCCCAGTGTCATTTGCCTGCTTTTCAGTTTGGGGGCAAAGAAAAGAGGAGTTAGGGGAAAAAAAATAGAATGGGGCTGGAGAGATGGTTCAGAGGGTAAGAGTACCAGCTGCTCTCCCAGAGAGCCTGAGTTCAGTTCCCAGCGATCACGTGGTACCTTATAGCCATCTGTAACTCCAGTTCCCGGCATCGGATGCCCTCTTCTGGCCCTGGGCACCATTCACGTGGTATAGAGACATAGGTACAGGCAAAGCATTCATACACGTAAAATACATACCTTAAAATTTTAAAGAAGAAAGAAATCCTTCCTCTCACAATGAAGTAAGTTTGTGATGCCCAAGTCTGTCTGGCAGCTGCCCTTGCCCACGGCAGTGGTGAGCAGGCTGTTAGCTCCTTTGGGGCAGATGGTGCCCAGCAGACAATCAGGAGAGCTGGCTCCTCCGGGGGGGGAAGCCCTCTCCCCTGGAGAAAGACTGAGCGCCTTTCATTGCTATTAACCCTCCAGGTTCCCAGGGAGCGCCGCTCATCAGTCGCAAAGCCAGAGGGGGAGCACCCGGAACCAGAGCACAGCAAAAGGTACGTCACGGCAGCTCCTGTAGAGGCAGGCACGCATGTACCCATGAAGAGGCAGGCTCTGCCAAGCAAAGCCAGGAAGGGCCTGGTGGCAGGGACGGTAGAGTGACCGTCACCTCAGATCCTGATTCACCTCTGGTACTCTAAGAAGTTATGTGTTTTTTGAGCTGCATTCCCTTTCCTAGAAAACAGGAACACCAACCTCTACCACTCCAGAGGGATGTTTGAGTAAAACCTCGTGTTTGCGCATCTTCATTGAGACCCTCTAGAGGGGGATGAGACAGGAGGAAGGGTCGGAAAAAACAAAACAAACAAACAAAAAAAAACCATGGTGTGTGGTGGCACAACAGCATCTGGGAGGCAGAAGCAGGACGCTCAGGAGCTCTAGCTAGCCTGGACTCTCCGTGAGAGCCGGTTTAGGCAGAGCAAGCCCTGACATACATCTTGGTGATGGAGCAGTTGCTAGGCAGGTTACTGGGGTGACTCCCAGATCTGCAAAAGTAAAAGTTAAGTACCAGTGACTCTTGAATTGTTGCCTGCGTAAAATTCAGCGAACTAATGTCGGAACTCCTCTTGAAGGCATCTTTAAAATATTTTAGGTTAAAACTTTTATAGATTAATTAAGACTCAACCTTAAGGCCGTGAAAGGTCTTTAAATGATTTGTTTTTACGCTTATTTATTTTATTTGTGTGCATGAACGTGTTTGTGGGTACCAAGTGAACATGCGGAGGTCAGAGGACAGCTTGCGGGAAGCTCCCTCTTGCCACTGTGTGGCTTCTGAGCATCAAACTCAACGTGTCAATCTTGGCAGCAAGCACCTTTACACACTGAACCATCTGCTAGCCCTAAGAACAGCTTTCAAATTGCCCCGTGTTTTATTAATAATAGAGAATAAAACAGCTGGGCATGGTAGCATAGACCTGTAATCCTAGGGAGTCTGAAGCAGGGGTTCAAAGCCAGCCCGGGCTGTGGAGCCAGATACTGTCTTGCAGTTGGGGGATAACAGAAATTGACTTAAGGAGTGAGTCACAATTCATAGTCTACACTCCTGACAACTATTTCATAAGGCAAATTAATTCATGTCTTATTTTATGTGCTTTTGATGGAGTGTCTTGAAGCAAACTCGCAATGTGCTTAGTTTTGCAGCCATGCCTAGTCTTTTGCTGACAAAGCCACGGGGAAAACCTTTGATTCTTCATCTCAAGTTGTCCTGGTTGTTGTCCTGGAGCTTCCATTTTTCTGCCTCAGCTTCCTGACATTTTCCTTAGGGCCAATCCTCAAGAGTGAATTTATAGTTCAGGGTTTGAATAGTTTCGCTGATCTTGAGTACAAAATTGCCTTTGTTCTGTGACATTTTCAATTTGTAAGATTTCAGGGGTCTTTAAAAACACATTTATGAGCTGGCCAGTGGTGGCACATGTCTTCATTTCCAGCACTTGGGAAGCAGAGGCAGGTGGATCTCTGTGACTTTGAGGCCAGCCTGGTGTACAGAGCAAATCCAGGACAGCCACGGCTGCATAGAGAAACCCAGTCTCAAAAAACCAAACCGAGCCAAACCAAAACAAAAAACAACCTCAGAACAAAACAACAACAAAGAACACATTCCTCTACATATATCCATGTGTATACACACGCACATCCACACATGTGTACACAGGCATACACAAAAATATTATTACGTATTTTTAAACTACACATTCTTATTACCCAAATATTAAACAGTTAATCTTGTATGACCTTTCTCTGAGAGAGTATGATGATGAGCTTTCCTTGGGGAAGCCGGAAGGCATAAGTGGTAGAAAGTGATGCTTGGTACTGCTTACCTGTGAGCACCTGTGTGCTGGACGCTGTTCCCTGAACTCCATCCTCGGTACCCACAAATCTCCCCGGGCAGAGGGAATCTCAGCTGAGGAACGATCCAGCAGATTGGCCTGTGGGCATGTCTCGGGCATCTTGTCAATTGCTGATTGGTGCAGGAGGCCCGGCCCAGTGGTGGGGCTGTCCAAAGGCAGGCAGACTTGGGCTATAAAAGAAAGGTAGCTGAGCCGTGCTCCTCCGCTCTCCTTGGGCTCCTGCCATGGCTTCCCTTGAGGCTGGATTGTGACCTGCAAGCCTTTCCTCCCCCAAGTTGCTTTTGGTCATAGTGTTTTATCACAGCAGCAGAGATGTAAGCCAGGACAAAGTGTTTTTACTTTTCACAGAGAGCAATGGAGTCCTGAGAGACAAAATAGCTTGCTCAAGCCGACACAAAATTTGAACCCAGGTGATCTCACTCCAGAATCTGTGGCTTTAATCCAACTGATCAGACTGTGCTTACAGCTTCAGGCTGACAGTGAAATATGAGGGTCTGCATTAGGGTTATTGGGAATAGCACGTGCTGGAGAGCTTTGGGTCCCAGCATTTCAGAGCAATTGTGCTTATGCATTTGGGTTTTGCTTGACTGGTGTCTTCACCAGGAATGGGCCCTTCCTCCATTTTCTGTTTAGTTGGCTTCTGTCAAGTCTTTTGCTACTGTGGGGAGCCTAGACCATCAGGGTGTGGGGTTGTCTGTGCTAGGTATGTATAAAGCTCTGGGTTCGAGCCCCAATACCTGCTCCTTCCAAATGTGTCAGCATCAAGGTTGGAACTACAGTGTCCTTTCCCCTTTCCTGAAGGAACAGCATTCCCAGTGTGACAGAGCAGCCCCTCATCTCTGCTGGAGAAAACAGGGTGCAAGTGTTGAAAAACGTGCCCTTCAACATCGTCCTCCCCCATGGCAACCAACTGGGCATTGACAAGAGAGGCCACCTGACAGCTCCCGATACCACAGTCACCGTCTCCATAGCCACCATGCCGACCCACTCCATCAAGACAGAAATCCAGCCGCACGGCTTTGCTGTGGGCATCCCTCCTGCAGTGTACCACTCTGAGCCCTCTGAACGCGTGGTGGTTTTTGACCGGAGCCTCAGCGCCGACCAGTTCAGCTCTGGCACTCAGCCTCCCAACGCTCAGCGGAGGACTCCAGACTCCACCTTCTCTGAGACCTTCAAGGAGGGCGTTCAGGAGGTACAAAAGACAAAAACATCTTCCTAAGACAGCGGCGTGTTTGTCTAAGTATTGGGTTCCACCTTTTCCTGGTTATGTAAGCTTGAAACTTAGCCCAGAATGAGTGGATCAGGAATAAAAGTTTTTTTCTTTTCTTTTCTTTTTTTTTTTTTTTTTTTTTTTTTAAGAGAAAGGCCTGTAGGTATAATTTGTAAGCTAAACCTACAAATCCAAAAATTATCATCAAGGGCTCATGGGTAATCTTACAAACAGCTGAGGTAACAATTATGGTTTCTGCTAAGAGATTTGCTGGGGGAGAGAGAGAGAAACGGAGCCCAGGCGTGATCTTCCACCGGCTGCAGCGCATTCTCATAGCATCTCTTCAGCTTTCACTCTGGACCCACGCAAGCTCCCGAGGCCAGCGTGGCAGCTCTGCCATTCTCGAGATCATTACGAACGTTTCTGCAGAGTTCTAGGGGTCTGATCATGCAAACCGCCATCGGGGAGAAGCCAGACACGCAGGGTGTTGGAGGCTGCTCCCTCCCCGGCCCCCGCAGCGTCTGTCAGGTGTAGAAACTGGCGCTCCCCATGTCCCCAGGAAAAGGGTGGCAGGCTTGCCCAGCCCTGGTGCAAATTTGACTCTTGGCCCTTGTATTTTGGCTGCAGATTCTCGACTCTGAACATGTGATGTTGGGAAAGATAAGGAAGGGAAAGAGAGGATCTCAGGACCAAGTGGAGTGTGTGTGCGGTTATTCACCTGACTGCTATGTAAAATTAGACCTTTACTTTTTATTTTATTCATTTCTTTATTTACTGGCTTCTGGAGACAGGGTTTCTCTGTGTAGTCCTGGCTGTTCTAGAACTCACTCTGTAGACCAGGCTGGCCTCCAACTCACAGAGATCACCTGCCTCTGCCTCCCGAGCACTGGGATTGAAGGCACCACCACCACCACCTGGCTGATATTTACCTTTTCTTTTTAACTTTTCTTAATTCATTTTTTAATAGATTTAGGATTCTTCCTTTGAAATGAGCCTCAAACGGGTTGTGGGTTGCCAGACACCACACCCTGTATCCATAGCAGACCTTGGTCATTAGTGACTAAGATGGTAGTTAAATGGCCGTGGCTCTCTATGTTGATATTTCAGGTTTTCTTCCCCTCGGACCTCAGTCTTCGGATGCCGGGCATGAACTCAGAGGACTATGTGTTTGACAGTGTTTCTGGGTAATAGTTGTCTTTTTTATTAAATGACTTTTGGGTTTTTGGCATCTGTGGTTGTTTCTCTTTTTGGTGTGTTTGTCCTGACAAACTGCGGTGGCTTTGGTGTGTGCTTTTGCCTTCCTCTGACTCTGCCAGCTGTGGCCTCATCTTGGGTAGGGGACTTTTGCTTCGGTGATTTGGGTTCCTCAGCTCCTGGTGTTGGTACTTTTTTCCTTCTCCGGCTTCCTTCTGTGGTGTTGTGGGATGGAATCTGAAAGGAGAAGTGGGGACTAAGGTAGATCACCAGTGTGTAGAGTTACAGTCTAGGGGTGAATCAAGTGGACAAAGGACTTTGTTATTCCTGTTAACCATAAAATAAATGTAGCTTTTTTTCTGACCTGAGAACTTGCTTTTAGCTTAGCAAAATTGTACCATTTTCTGGGAATAGGAACATTTTCTAAGTTTGTGAGAAGTATATAAACACCTCAAGATTTTTTTTTTTTAAGTCTAGGGTTTCAAAATTTTTTTTCACTTTATGTATTTAACTGCATCGTATTTTGCAGTCAAAAAACAAAAACAAAAAGCAAGGCCAGTGAAATGGCTCAGTGGATAATGACGCTTGTCACCAAGCGTGGTGACCCTAGTTCAGTCCCAGGAACCCACAATGTGGAAGTGGGAGCCCCTGGCCTCCACACACATTAAGTAAGTGAGTAAGCGTGAGGCCCTGGTTCTCTGGATGTGGGGGGGTTTAGACTTCCTTTACAAGCATGCCCCCACGGTTCAAGGAACACAAACTCATGTTAAGGAGCGGGATAAAGCTGGCAAGCTTTCTCAGTGACGTGTTAGATAGCAAATGTTTTAGGCCCCAGGGACTGGATAACCGCTCTGTGGCTTTGTGACTGCCTAGCTTCGCCATCATAACGAAAAGGGCATGCAGAGCAGGCTTAAACAAGTAATGTGACTATGTTCTAATAAACTTTATTTGAAACATAGGTGTAATTGGACAGCTTCCAGCCTGGGAAGGCTCTGAGTGGTTGTGTAGAGTAACAGGAAACACAGGCAGTCGTGGAGTACCTGTGTAGAGGCAGGTTGCAGGCAGAAGCGCCAGGAGAGTACCACCAGCTATGGCTGAATGCTGGCCTCTCGGCCCCTATTTGCAACCTTTGCTCCATAAATACCAGCTTGGCAGCCAGCCCCGGGAGGTTTCTTCCAGCACCTGCCCAGTTCCTGATATCGTTTGTAGCCCAGATGTCCAAATGTCTAACTGTTAACACGGCATCAAAGAGCTCCTGATGGGTATTTTGTATCTGAGAGTTTCTGGTCACCGAGCACTTGAGTTTAGGATACTCTTTCTCAAGTAAAGGGCGCCAAGTGCTGATTCTCACAGGACCTAGCCAACTGGATGTTTGTTGGTGGGCCACTGTCTCAACAGCCTCCCAACCTCCGCCCCCAAAATTACTTCAGGACTGAACGGAAGTGTACTGGAAGCTTCTGGAAGCCTGGCCCAGACCTGTTGTTTCTTTGTCCTGTAGGAACAACTTTGAGTATACCCTAGAAGCCTCCAAGTCGCTTCGGCAGAAGCAAGGGGACAGCACGATGACATACCTGAACAAAGGCCAGTTCTACCCCGTCACCTTAAAGGAAGTGAGCAGCAACGAAGGCATCCACCACCCCATCAGCAAAGTTCGAGTGAGTTCTGTACCTGGTTCTGCTCCCTGGGAAAGCCACTGTCAGGTGACCCTGGCTCCTAACACTTTCAGGTCTTTGTAACTCTGAGTAAAGGCCTAAAAGTGCCTAATCCTTTTTCAGGATTATTTTTACTTTTATTCCTGTGTCTCCGAGTGTTTGCACATATGTGCAGATGCCCCTGGAGGCCATTGGATCCCCTGGAACTGACGTTCTAAGCTGTTGTAAGAGGCCGGTTGTGGGTGCTGGGATTAGAACACAGGTCCTTTGGGGGAGCCGCAAGTGGGCCAGTATTGCTTTAAGCCTTGGCTGTATGATCTAATAATAAATGGCTTTCCCAGAGGCTGCTCACTGTTTGGGGTCCTTATGCTGCATTCTCATTCCCAGAGTGTGATCATGGTGGTGTTTGCCGAGGACAAAAGCAGGGAAGACCAGCTGCGACACTGGAAGTACTGGCACTCCCGGCAGCACACGGCCAAGCAGAGGTGCATTGACATTGGTGAGTGGCCCCGAGCCCACCTGCAGTTCTCAGAGGCTCCAGCCCCACCCCCCCCACCCCCCCACCCCCGCTTGCCAAATCCAGTTATTTCTGGCAATAATGAACTTCCTGCCGAAAGCATTTGAATTTTGATGCCAGCCACAGACGTGTTCCAGGCTGTGTCCTGTGGCTCCTGGAATCAGGGCTCTGTCCTCACTTCCTTCACCGGGCCTGTGGCCAGACAGAGATTTGCCATGTGCCTCTGAGGCCAGCACCGAAGTGTCCCACTTTCACCTACATTTCTTTTTATCCCCTTCTCTGCTGTTCTGGGAATGGAACCCAGACAGACACTCAACCACCGAGCCACACTACCCCCTCCACTCGGTCTGTACATTTTGGGAAGGGTAATGGCTTATTTAGGACATTACCTGGCTTTTTTTTTTTTTTTTTTTTTGAGATAATAATAAGGAGATTTCCAAATGTGCAAAAGGAAATCACTTCTAGCTGAGCTAGGTTGCTAATCTCCTTAGCCTGTGACAACCTAGTGATGGATGCCCAGGATACATCTCTTCAGTGCCTCTGTTCCCCTCCGGTCTCCAGTCCCACATAACACCATCATCCACACCACAGGCGGCAGTCCCTCTCAGGGCTCCTGGTTCTTTACCTTCTGAAATTCCAGGCACTCCTTTTTGTAAGAATAAGAAGAGCTGAATTTGTTGGGACAAGGTCTTTACATCTAGCTCAAGCTGGTCTCAGACTCATTATATAGCCCAGGCTGCCCTTGAATTCACAGCAGAATCTTCCTGCTTCAGCCTCCCAGTTTCTGAGATTGTAGGCATGTGCCTCCACACCCAGCTTAGAAGAACTGAGTTCTAGTTTTCCTTCCACAGATGGGACCTTAGGATCATTGCTTAAGCTTTTTAGACTTAAACTTCCTAATTTTGACCAATGATATGGAATTAACTATATCTAAGCTTGCCTGAATTAAAACAAATTTTTTTTCTGCAATTATCTTTTTCCTTCTTTATTGTGGAATTTCTTTCACCCCCCAAAAAGTGCTTCATTCAGTTGTCTAGAAGATAATGCAGAAAACTGAGTAGTCCATGGCCTGCTGCGATCTTACACTGTAACTCAGTCAGGACTTTCTTTTTCTCATCCGTCACCTCATGTAGCTGACTACAAGGAAAGCTTCAATACCATCAGCAACATTGAAGAGATTGCTTACAATGCCATTTCCTTCACCTGGGACATCAATGATGAAGCAAAGGTATGACATAACGTCCAGGGTGCGGCCCTTCCAGCTGTTTGAAAAGTGGGAGGAGCTTCATGGTTTCATAGCTGATCTGTCTGGCAGATCCGTCTTCCTTGTTTCCACCCTCCTCTAAAGCCGAATTCTTGCCACCCCTCAGCACAGAGCCCAGTGTGTGAAACCCCCAAGCTGAGCCGTCATACAGCAGTGCCTCCTGTCTGACCCCCAGTCCCACCCAGGCCCTCTCACTTGGCTTCACTTCCTCATCCGCAGAGTGACATTCACAGCTTCCCCTCCCTTCATTCACGGTGATGTAAGGATTAGTGCAACAGATGGTGCAACAGCCTCCCATCAGCCAGGTGGGGTTCCTGCAGGAAGGCTGAGTCCGAGTTATTGGTAATGCCTGTTTCCCGTCGATGACAGACAATAGTGTAAGATTCTTCTGCCTCATGCAGCGAGAAGGGCCTCATATTGAGTGGGTCACTTGGATGATTCTCTAGGACTTCTCAACCCCTTTAGGGACAAGTATGCATGTTCTTAAGTTATGTCTCCCTTCCCATAGTAGTCTCTCTGTCCTCTTCATTAACATTATTAGAGTTTTGCCAGGCATGGTGGCACACACCTTTGATTCCAGCACTTGGGAGGCAGAGACAGGTGGATCTCTGAGTTTGACCCCAGCCTGGTCTACAGAGCAAGTTCAGGACAGCTGGGAGTACACAGAGAAACCTTCTCTCATTTAAAACACACACATGCACACATATATGTATATATATTTGTGTGTATGGATTAGAATTCTGGCATCTAGTTACCTTAAAACTCAGAGAGAGCCCCAGAAAGTCTTGGATGGGTGTTGGGGTAAGATCCATCCTGAGATTTTGTTGCAAGATTAGTAACGCTTTTCTTCCAGGCTCCCCGTGCACATTCTGATCACCTTTCTGTCACCTTTCAGCCTCTTCTCTTTATTATTCTGTTTATTCAGCAAGAATTTTAGTCATTATTGAGAGTATAGCCCCTATAAAGCATGCCTGCTTCCCCTCAAAAAAAAGAACTTTTAGTAATTCATGGAACAAGATACTACATTAGGAGCTTAGAGTTATCAGGGCTTCAATTTCTAACGCTTAAAGTTTTTTAAAAAATCAAATAATGTGGTGGGCATAGCGGTGCATGCCTTTACTCCCAGCACTCAGTCTGCCTACCACGTGTTTTGTAAGGAGTATCGGGTAATCATTGAGGCTGACCATCCAGTATAGATTTGGAGAAACTTAGTAAAAATTGCCTGAAGTATGGAAGCAGTTGCCAGAAAAAGACAAAGTGATCTGGAAGCAAAAGGCTCATGCAAATAGCACAAACAGAAAAGAGCGGAAGCCACGACTATGAAAAGAAAAGCATCCGATGCGGAAGGGTCCATGAAAGTCAGAGCTCCTTCTGTGGGAATACTGTCACCCCAAAAGAAGTCCTACCCACCACAATGCTTTTGCTAGCCTCACCAGCCAGTGCAGGAGGCAGGCACAGGGGGGTCTCTATGAAGTCCAAGCCAGCCTCATCTACAAAGTGAGTTCTAGGCCAGCCAGAACTACATAGTGGGAACCTTTCTCAAAAAAGGAAGAAAGGAGGGAAGCAAGGAAGGAAGGAAAAAGAAATTAAATACTAAAGTTCTTGGGAGTCCTGTGAAGTTTCTTCTCCTGTCCGCTGTGCCATGGTGGTTGTATCTAAGGCAAATCACACACCCTTCCCCTAGAGGATCAGTCTGCAGGAAGCTCTCCTGCCAGCCTGCACCACTCCATGGAGATGTCAGCTGGCTGCTCCATTTAGGGCCGGGTACTGGGTTGTTTTAGAGGGGTTGCTGGGGAAAGCAAGCACGCTACCTCCTGTATGTTTGTCTCAGTTATCTGGAAATTTAAAACTGCAGTAGAAGTTAGTGTGTGGCTTCTAAGAAGCCTGTAAGAGGAGATAGCTGTACCCCCTGGGTCCTTCTGGGCTCAGGCTCCTGAGGTGCGTTTCCTGCTTCACACTGGGAAACTGTGGAGCAGCTGTGAAGTACTGAGTTCACTATTTTTATTTTTATTTTTCGAGACAGCATTTCTTTGTGTAGCCTTGGCTGTACTGGACTCACTTTGTAGACCAGGCTGGCCTCGAACTCACAGAGATCCGCCTGTGCCTGCCTCTGCCTCCCCAATGCTGGGATTCCAGGCATGCGCCATTGTGCACTGCTTGAGTTCTCTGTTTCAACTTCATGAGACACGTGCCAGTCCTTGGCTCAGTTTTTCTCTTTGTGTTTTTTTTTTTTTTTTTGTCTTTGTTTGTTTGTTTGTTTTCCACCTTTCCTACCACTGAAAAAGCAAAAGGCTGGTTGGGCCGGCTCTGCCGTCTGTTGGGTGTGGCCAGGATTAATAAGCACTTGTCAGAGCCTGGGAGATCTTGGCTGGAAAGGCCTGTGTATGGGCAGGGTGCTTTGTTTGCTTGATGTGTCACACTCGGGGGTGGGAGTAAGGAAGGCTGAGAAAACAGGGACAGCGGGCTGTGTGCTGAAGGCTGACAGGTACTTATGCCAGGGAGAAGCCTCCTGGAGGAGGCGAGTCTTCAGCCTGGGAGGCAGAGCTGGCTCCCTCCTCCAACCAGTTCGGAGTCTGCGCCAAAGCCCTCTCCTGCTCATAGGGCATGGTGTCCGTTTCTTAGGGAAGCTGCTCCCTTCTGAAGCTGATACCAGATGTCGGTTTCAAGCATGTGCTGGAATCCAGCAAGTAGATTCCTTGCTTCTCCCAGCCAAGTCCATGCTTCTGTTTTCATACTTAAAGTAATTAATGCCTCAAGGTAATTAGGGCAAGGAGAGCGTGCAGAGTCCTGTGGAGTGGGGGTGTTTTTGTTTATGTACTTATTTTATGAAAGTATCTCCTTCTTACGTGGCTCCCTTTCTTCTTCTCACTTAGGTATGTTCATTTTTAATTAATTAATTAATTGTTTTCTTGGTAGTGCTGAGGAGTAAACCTGGGGTTTTGTGCTTGCTAGGCAAGCGCTCTATGGGCGAGCTATACTGTAGCCGAGTGTATGTTGATTCCTGATTCTCTCCCACAAACATCCAGAAATCAGTTACTCTGATTTCTAATGGTAACACAAACTCTCTGGCATGCCAGCATGAGTGAAGCCAGAATTCTAGCCCAGTATCTTCCTGTGAGTCCTACCTGTACGTAGGCTCCTGCCTCTCGCTTTGATGTCACTGTTTTGAGAACATACAAAGGTAAATGATGAATGTCTTGTCTGGTGTGCCAACTTAGGAAAACACTGCTCCAGCCTGGACTCAGCTCATAGTGCACCTCTGCAGATGATGATCACAGGTTTGAGGAGGAACCTGCTGGAGCCATGGAAGCAATGAGGGGAAAGCCGGTTAAAGCAGTGGTCAGGTAGAAAGAGAAGTTACTTTGAAACTAGGGATGTCTGGGCGTGGTGGTGCGTGCCTTTTATTCCAGCACCTGGGAGGCTGAGACAGGCGAACCTCTGAGTTTGAAGCTGGTTTACATATCAAGTCCCAGGCCAGCTGCATCATGAAGAACACTTACTGGCGGCTGGGCATCCTTTAAAGACCAGAAGTCTATGGACGGTTTACAGTTCGGCCCTTGGCCTTCCATTAGGCATCGGCTCTGGTTCTTCCCAGACACTGCATAGCCAGGCTGGGCTATGGGTGTCAACTCAGCGGGAAGCAGCAGCACCTGCATCTGGACCTTCAGTGGTTGGCAAGGTGTTAAAGTGTAGGATTTGAAGGGCAGGATGTGAAGGCCCTCTCACCCGGAGAAGTGAGGGCAGGCGGTGAGGAGCAGGCATGCAACAAGATGGGTGCGTGCTCGGCTGCATGAACATCCCCTTGTGTAAGCAGGCTCCTTCCACCCTGCAGGAGCCAGGTGTCCTCCAGCTAGTGGCCGATGCTTCTAGCAGGGCTACTTGCAGACTCCTAACTCCAGGTCTGGGTTCCAGGCTGTACCGCCAGGACTGCAGCTCGTATGGATTGTGTGTTAGATGGCCTCTTGTGGAGTAGCCTAAGATGCTAAGATAGCATCACCGTGTGGAGGGAAAATATATGCCATATATGTGTCATTTTACACATGAAATGTAAATCAAAGAGGTCTCTCTTCTGCAATAGTCTAATAGGAAGGAAGAATTGTGGCTCTGCTGGAGCTCCTGGCCCAGAATCTGCTTTGGGTCATAAATCTTAAGGGTTTATAGCAGCAGTGAAATTTGGCTAATGAAAGGAAGGGGGAAAGCCTAAAGATCTAAAAATAAATAATGGGAAAGAAAAGTCACAGGGATAAGTAAGTTCTTTGGGTGACTGTCACCCAGGCTGTGCGGGGCTGGGGTGCCCTGCCTGTTCACACTCCACCCATCACTGTACACCACACAGCAGCACTTAGCAGTCTCGGGATCCTGTTTGCAGCTTGGTGACACCAAGCACCTCAGGCCACTAGACCTGAGCTGGGTAGCAAGTGCTCTGGGCTGGTTACTATTGTCCACCGCCCTTGTTACTGGTAGCACAGCATTGCAGACTCACTAACAGGAAGACTCACTGCTCTAGAAGAACACTACGGAATTTCAAACCAAAAAGCTGTTGCCCTGAAGTTCGGTGGTTCTAGACAGCACACCAAGGAAGGTCAGCTAGCAGCAGCTGGGGAGTGGCTCTGATTACAGCCAACTAGACAGAATGGCAAAGGAGGAAGATGGTGACAGTTCAAAGCACAGCTCAAGATCTCTTTGTTGTTTACTAGATATGATCTTTGTGAATATTAAACTATTTAAGGCTGTGATGAACTCCAGGGATACGAAATCCCCAACCATTATGTTTGTCTAGTGCTGATCTAAATTGTCGTCCTTAAAGGTAGATTGTTTTGTGGCTACATTCACATGTTGCACTCAGAAACTACCAGTGCCGAAGAGCTCCCTGTCAGGTGTGGGCCAAGCCCCTGGAGTGGATGGTACCAGGGCAATGCTTGCAGAGGGCCCGGTGTGCTTTGTGTGTTGTGCCTCCCTGGGCT